GAATTCACTATTTGCTAATGCTTAATAAATGATTTATAGTGTGTAGTTATTATAAAGTGTTACCCAGTTTCCAAAACAATTAAGCAGCTTTTGTAAACATTCATATGATAAAAGCAATTTATTTAACACATTTGACTTATTTATCAAGTCAGCACACAGCTATTATTTCTGAATGATTTTATGACATTGAAGCCTGGTGGAGTAATGACTACAGGTATAAACCTAAAAAGCAATGCAATATAACAATGTAATGAATGTTATATGTAAATGTAATAAAACTAAAAGCAAGCATGTAAAATTCTAATGAAATTCCACTGTATTATTGTTTACTCCTGTATTTTTTGCAGCTTTGAGCATAACAGGCACAAATGTAAGAGCTACTGACATATGTTAGGTTAATCCCACGACCTTTAGTTCATTTTTATATCCCAGTAACTACATGTACAAAACCTAGAGTACTTGTGTACTTCCTACCTGTAGAGTTTCCTTATCAATGCTGACTACCATTTTGTTCTTCTCACACTGCACATTGAATCCTACATCTGCAGACCCCTGGTGCTCCTCGGGGCCCCCAGCCAGAAAAACACTATCCTCATGAGGGGGCATCAAAGGAGGGAATGACTGGTCCTGGTCCATAGGCAGGAAGGGGAAAGGAAAACCATTCCGTGGAGGAGCATCCCGGGCGCTGGGCTTTGGAAGTGGATTGATGTTGCGGAGAATGGAAAATGGTGGCAACATTCCCTCATCCATGATCCCCACATCTGAAACTGAAAGCATTTGATGATTTTTAGATGAGGGGTTTACTCAACTACATTTTTAAATTGATTAGTGAGAGGCAGAGGAAAATGTCAGTCCAAGTTATTTAGTTTAATCATTGTGTCAGGCTGCACACCTAACAAAGTAGGCCACCTAATATGGTAAATAAGATTTTCATATATATTTTTTATATTTATATATGCATGTTTTTAACTGCTAAACTCTTAGCAAATTTCTTATAATTACCACCACAAAATCAGTCGTTTTTATTGCAAAATCGTGAAAAACTAGGGGGTCTATAAAATTTATAATTATTAAAAAGTATTTTTGGATTTAGTTACCAGAATTTCCTTCTTTAGAAAGACTATACAATAGACAAACAGCACTATTGTAAATGTGAACTGCAGTAATAACCAATAAATAATCAAATGAAATCTTATGTTATACAAATTTACTTTATTAAATTAATTCTATTTGGAGCACAGCTAGTGTGTGTATTATCAGATTAATATTTTAGTACATTCAGCTATTTAACCTTATTGATATTTTATACACATTAATTCCACACATTTAGTTCCACACAAAAGTTCCATCAAGTTGTCCCAACACAAATCAATTAAGTTAACTTAATTGTTTTTTTTTTTTTCAATTTTAGGTGGATTCAACATAAAACAATTACGTTGTCCTCCCAAAAAACTTAAGAATCCGAACAAAATACATTTTTGAGTGTGTCATAATAATTTAGGTTTATATTATTCAAATATTTCACTTGCCTTGTTCTCTGAGGCGCAGATTGAAGTGATTGGCAACAGGAGTGTTGGTGTATGAAGTGACGGGATTGAATCCGTTTTCTTCGGCCCACTGGATGAGAGCCTGCGACCCCGCGGGCAGTTTCTGTTTGACCGTCTTTGACACCTGCATCAGCCGTTCTGTGTCTTCACTCAGACTGACCGTATCTGATGTCTAAGAAGAACAAGACAACATATTCACTCCATGTGCACAGTCAAAACGATTTAACTCCTATTCAACTTGGTTTCACAACTCTTTTAACATAAGCCATGGTTTCTCATGTTTTCTCTGACAACATATTTTGGTCAAATACCTGATTTTACGATCCAAAATGACCACTTGCCAAACTCCAAATGGAAGTAAAGCAAAGTTAGCCAAGAAAGAATAAAAAAAATAAATAACGTATGCTTTAAATCAAACTGCTAGAGCTGACCCCCAGTGAAGAGAAAACACACATGAGTTTAAATAACTAACAATGTTATTTTTTTCAGGGGTAGATTACCATCAAAAGTCATTCATAATTGCCTTAATTGTGGTTTAATGCTCACACAAAGTCACCAAAAAAGAATAAAATAATGATGTGTTTGAAATGGTTTTATGACAGGAATTGTTTTACAGAGAATTCATTAATTCCCTCTATTTATGATTTTTAAGTGTGTGTTTATTTAATGTAATGAGTCAAACTGAGTAAAACAGCCAAAAAGAGTAATGTAATGAGGTAAAGTTTTTTGTAAAAACATTTGTTGTATTCTGCAAACTATAGTGACATTTCTTCCAAATGTTTTATAATGACAAGTTTTATAATGACGAAAGCGCCAAAGTTTGAGACATTTGGTCATTATTATTATTATTCATATTATTATTATTATTATTACTATTATTATTATTATTATTATTATTAAATGCATTTATTAAATTTTTATTTGTTTTTTATTTTATTATACACAATAGCAATGTTTTAATAGCAGAATAACTAATCAATTAATCAATAAATTTATATTTAGTACTATAAACAACATTTGTTATTTGGACTGACTCTATAAAAACTATATATGGCTATATTTCTATTTAAAAGAAAAAAAAACATCTAAACTCTTTTTTTTTAATAGGAAGCTATACAGTATTATATTTGTGTATATACATTAGATTAGTCAGTACTGAAGCCAAATCTGGAGCTTATCTAACAAAATAACTTAAGATATTGGTCCAAAAACGAATATACTCAAATTTATAAGTTATAGAAAAATATTAAATGCAAAAAAAAAAACAAAAGAAGGAAAAAATCACGAAAAGCAAAAAAAATTTAAAACAAAAAAAAAACAATATTTTGCTTGAATTTAATTGTTTTATCTTTTCAATATGTTTGGTAACTTAAATGTTATTTTAATGAATATTTCTTTTTAGTTTAAATGCACCAAAATACATAGCCTATATTCACTATAAGATAATTGTATAGTATACAACATGCTCAATATGAAACGTAATAACATTATTTACAGTTTATTTTCTCAGTCACGTTGGTTCATTTCTAAGATCAGAATTAAAATTCTCAAAGCTCCCTTTTCAATCTTCACATCGTGGTGTCACTTGTGCACATCAGAAAATCAGTTACTCATTCTTTTTTTTTTTAAGTTGCAAATGCTTTTGTAAATCCTTGCAAATGTTTATGTGCAGTTCTCTTGCTTATTCCATGTTGATCAAAATGTATTATTTTGGTCTCTGTTGAGTAGTCTCACCCCCACAGCATATAATCCATTGTTCATGGCATAAGTCTTTACATGAAAAATGGCTGAACAAGTTGTCATAATATTTTGTCATAGCACATTGTTCTATACATTTTCCATCAGACTTTTTTATTTTAAATCTTTTTACAATTGGTAAATATCTCCCAAGTAAATCTTGACTTTTCTAATGGAGGTCTAAAACGAGGTTGTCCTATGTTCACATTTCTATTTTTATTTTTCTGTGTGCTATGCTGTGTTGTCTATTCCTTTCTGTATCACAATGACATATGTCAACAAATTACTATCGTTCACACCAGAACACACCCTCCAGATTAAACTGTAGTACTGGCAGTATGACTAAGTAATTTGACTGTCTTATCCATACACGATGACACAAGTATTCATAATTCTGACGGCACTGACTTGTTCATTGATACACAAATTTAGTTTTGAGAGATGAACTAAGTATTTTTAGCAGGAGACTGGCTTTTGGAGGTAAACCATAGTGTTTTGCTATTTCTTTACAATGTTTTGAGAAATGCACTTACTGTTTTGCAAATTTCAATTCTGATCTGAGAAATTTCCCGAAGCTACTGAGAAAAACTGTAATTAGATTACCTTTTTAACACAGTCAGATATGGGGTTGTTGTCGATGACATTTGACCAGTTTATTGTGGTCAGTTTATATAGGAAGTATAAATGAGCTTCTGTTCATTCTCTGCTGGGTGTGAAGAGCAGATGGCCCTCGTTCTCAGCTCTGTTTCTCATAAATGCCTCACCAGGCTGGACAACCAGCTTAAGCCAATCTGCCAACAGTAGCAGGGCTTTGATTTTACAAGGCTGTGGATCGTATCACATGCATAACTTACATTCTCCTACGCTCTAAAACACTGTAACTGACTCACTCAGACACAGACATGTACAATCACACACATTCATGGAGACAGACGCGTTATAATCGTTCACATTCACACACTTAGGACTTTCACATTAAAATTCTATCAACAGCTTTACGACTCTTCGACTGCCAATGATAGCACACTATAGTACAAAACAAGAACACTGTGCTCAAAATAGTTTTACTTGCACATCTAGATCAACGGTATCAAACTGTCTTTCTTTCCTTTTTTCTTTCTTTCTTTCTTTCTTTCTTTAAGGTTTTTTAGTTTTAGTCGTTCGTTTGTTCGAATTTACGTATGTGCATTCTTCGTTCGTTTATAGCACTTTGTTCATATTTGAAATGGACAAGTCAACTTGAAACTGATACACTCTAATTCAATGTATGTACAAATACTGATTTGTGAATGGGCGTCATGGTGGTGCAGTGGGTAACACTATTGTCCCACAGCAAGAAGGTCAATAGTTCGATCCTTCGCTGGGTCAGATGGTATTTCTTTGTGGAGTTTGTATGTTCTTCTCGTGTTCGCGTGGGTTTCTTCCGGGTGCTCCGATTTCCCCCAACAGTCCAAAGACCTATGGTATATGTGAATTGGGTAAGCTAGTATATGTGTGTGAATGATTGTCTATGGATGTTTCCCAGTGATGAGCTGCTGCGTAAAACATATGCTGGATAAGTTGGCGGAGATTTACACCTACCCAACTTTAAATAGCAACAGTTCTTGACCTCAGTGAGCTATAAACATAAATCAGGTATCATTGGAAAGAAGACACTTTGAGCTGTACTGGGGCAACATAAACAAATGAATAACCATTTATAATTCAACAGTGGACTGAATGTGTTTGTTGGGATGTTGTTCTGAGGATTCTTACCTTTCAAAATAAACTGTGATGTACAGCAATGAATGTCTGTGTGTGTTGTTATTAAGATGATATGCACTCCATATTTAATAAGTGTTTTGTGTGCAACTGGCACACATTTAGCAAATGCATTCTTTATAAGCTTCTCATCAAAAAAAAAACAAACAAAAAACAACTAGCTACAATGGCTGCATGAGAGTTGTAGCTTAAAAATGATGTACAGTATAGTTCGTCAAAATTACTCATGTTCTTTTTTATGTAATCTAACCGTAAACACTGAAATGTGCGAAAACAGTCACCCAGTACGTCCACGTCCTGACGCTTAAGGACAACAAGAATAAAATTCTTCTAGGAAAAAAAAAATCATTATTTTTTCTATATTTACGCTTTAACATAAAGTACAGACAGCTGAATCAGTGGGGCATTTTAAAAGCAGCAATTAAATATGAAACTGACCACTACAAGAATAAAATGATAAATTATAAATAAAATTTTTAACTGAATGTATGGATACTTACTACTGTAAATAAAAAAGACAGAAATAAAGAAAATAAAGCAAACTAAACACATAGGGAAAAATACTGACAACCTGTCAATTTACTATACATTACATATTTGTATTCAATTTTCTTCAAGTACAGTAATTATGAAAAGAATATCATAATTTTTTTTCTATATTTAGGCTTTCATTTAGCTGAATCAGTGGGTCTTTTTAAGAGCAGCAATTAAATATGAAATAGATTACTACTGGAATAAAGTGATAAATTATATATAAAATATTTGATTGCACAGAATGATAAAATAAAAAATAAAGAAATTAAAAAACTAAAGAAAACAAAACAAAATGGGGAAAAATACTGACAACCTGTCAATTTACTGTACGTTACATATTTGTATTCCATGTTATTTAAATTAGTTATTTATTCACTTATTTTCCTTATTCATTTATTTCCTTATTTATTATTTTTATTTAAAAGAAAATGTTGTCTACTGCACTCTTTTGATGTCTATATTTGTGTGTAGAAATGAATTTATAAATGAAATATAATCAGATTGCATTTATACTGCATTACTTTTCTCTAGCTCAGAAAAAAATAAACACCTAAAAAACATCATATAAACATCTTAAAACTCCTCAAAATAGTGTGACATCCTTAAAACAGTTTTTTTTTTTTTTCTAATACGCAGCAAGTAAGAAATGCACAAATATTTAGATAAATTCCATGGAGCATAAGTAAGTCTCACTCCAGGAGCTGTGCAGTGCAGTGACAGTTTCAGTAGTGTGTGTGTGTGTGTGTCTGCTGTTGTGCTGTGCTGTCTGAAACCAGCAGCCAGACGCTCTCATAATTCATATTCTGAAGTGCCAGGCCAATGCTACAATAAAAACACTCCAGCGGCTCTGACTGAAGAAAAACTCACTCCACTCCTCCTTCTGTTATTACTCCGTCTAATGACAGGCCAGAAGAGACATCGTTCACTTTATTTCACTAAAATAAAATAAAATAAAATAAAATAAAATAAAATAAAATAAAATAAAATAAAATAAAATAAAATAAAATAAACAATAAAAAGTAGTTTTTTATGCAATTATTATTATTATTATTATTATTATTATTTCTGACAGATCATGAGATGCTGATGAATGGACTATTGGCTGCTTTTTTCTAAATTATTTTAGTGTTTCATTAACAAAATTAAATAAGTTTTGACTTGGTGAAAATGTACTTTTAATTGAACGAATGAACGAATGAATGAATAATATTGTTTATGCAAGACTTTGTACAATAATGTACACTGTAAAAGATATCCGTTGATAAGCCGTTTTTTTATTTTTATATTTTTATTATTGTTATTTTTAAATTTTTCCCTGTTTTTTTTTTTTTTTTTTTGCTTTTGAATTGCATTATGGGACAATTTGGGATTAATCTTTCTTCCAAAAACTTTAAATCTCAAAAAAGTGACTTTTATAAACATTTTTAATAATTTAAAGTGATATAATGTCTGTGTTTGTGCTGTATATTACAGTACAAAATTTTTTTAATAAACCGTCAGTAAATTTTTTTGTCATTTTACAGACTTATTTCTCTATAAATTATTTTTATACATGGTATCATTTCAGACTCATTTTTAAAATATCAGTCAAAATAACTTTGTTAAACTCAAGAGTTTAATTTTCAACATCAGAAGTTGTCAGAGCACAGATCAACATTCTATAATGCAATTCACAACCCTAAATAAACAGAAAACACTTGCGAATCACAAAATGCAGAAACTTTTAGTAACAGATATGTCTTACAGGAAGTATTATTATATTTAACAGTCTCATTTTCCATATTTTTAGTTTTAAAATTAATTAAAGCAGCATAAAGTAATTTTGATGAGAAAAATCGCCTCATGACAACAAACAAACAAACAAACACATTTAAATGAATTAGTTAGTATATACTGTATGTAACAAAGCTCTAAAATTCATTTAATAATATAAATAAACAAAACTCATATATTTTTCTATGTGTATAATTTATAAATCATACCATAATCTCCAGTTTGCCCATGACTTTGTGGGCTTTGATCACCCAATTCACTGACTTCTCACATTTCAGAAGCAACACGACGTCACGATGAAGTGGAATGTCACCATCCAGAGGCCTTAAATCCACAATCACATCCACCTGGAATGCACTACTCAGAGAGAGAATGAGGAAGAACGAGAGAGAGAGAGAGAGCGAGAGAGAGAGAGAGAGAGAGAGAGAGAGAGAGAGAGAGAGAGGGAGGCAATGAAAGGAAGGTCATATGTATCTTGGAAAAAATGAAACTTCAGTTTTAACATGCATTCTTTGTCTGGCCAATTGATTAAAAATCTGGATTGATTCCTAGAAAACAACCCTGGACACATGTGAAACAGACCACATAATGCAGTGCTGGGATCCGTCCTGACGCTTGCATATCTTAAGATCTGTTCTGATTTTTTTGAGTCACTATTAGGCAACAGTGAGTGATACCGTTGGAGGCTGAGAGAGTTTTATCCAGCATAGCTCTCCAAAATCAACAATACAATGATTCCTGCCTATTTCCAAATAAACTTTGCAAAATTGAAGGAAACACAATGACAACCTGAAATGACAAATAGAGAGAGGTATACATGTATACAATCATTTGGTGTAGTAAACAAACCCATATGCACTGAGATATTCTGTCTGCAATGTATGTTCAACAACACATTTTATATACACTAATTTGAACTTCCTCTTTTTGAAATGGATCTCTGGAAAGGAACTTTATTTGTTAATTTTCAACGCTAAAATAAATCACATACACTTCCATGACAAAGTTTTGGGTTGGTAAAATTTCTGATGCCTTCATTTAGGATGTGACAGATCAAACAGACAGTAAAACATTATTTAAAAAATAGTCCAAATTAAAATAATAATGTTAAAGCCCAATTTGAAGTTCAAATTATTAGACCTTCTAAAATTTTTTTTTTCTTTTTCAAATATTTCACAAATTATGTTTAACAAAGCGAGGAATTCATTGCAGTATTTTATATATATATATATATATATATAATAAATAAATTGTATATTTTATATTATATATAAAACTAATATGGAAACTTGGCAGATAGCGATAACTAATATTTATTTATATTTGCCAACGATAACCGATATGCAGTCTAATGAATATAAATATTGATAGGAATTTTTCTGAGCATAATAACAAAAATGAAAGCCAATATATATATATATATATATATATATATATAGGGTTATATATATTTTGGACAACTGATTGTATTTTAAAACCTTGCAGTATCTGCACAACATTTATCTTTATCAAATCTCTTCTAAAGTGTGTATGTGACGTGTTTTATTCAGCCTGATCTCACGAGAAAATGTAAGTATTTTACATTTTGCCAGTTTAGTGGCTAATTTGTACGAATTCATTTGAGTTCAGTCGTACGAAGTCGAGTTGTGGCACCTAACCCCACCCCTAAACCCAACCGTCATTGGGGGATGAGCAAATTGTACTAAATTGTCAAAACCCTCAAGACCAGCAGTACACATCTGAAATTGGTTACCTGGCTGAAATATTCTATCATGTATAGGTTTTAATATATAATAAAGAGGATAATAGTGTTCTGTTTACCTGCTGGAGTTTGGTGCCTGAAGCTCAATGATATGAACCTCCTGCTCATGATCAGGACCTGAGAGAACACAGCCTGTGGATGGCTGGGGCTCGATGTAGCTGGCCAGATAGTTTAGAGACAGGAATTTGTTATCGATTTTACAGGTCTCAGAGAACACAGGGTCTGAAACAAATGAGAGATTCAAAGGTGAGGATGTTTGGAACACATGTTGAATTGACAAATACAAACACATTTCTAACAGTCACTTATTGTCTTTATATTTTACATTTGATTATATCTGGAATGGTTAACTGTTTTAGCACACCATGATACTTTTCACCAGTTGCTGCTGTTTTTTATTTTTTATTTTATTATCATTTATTTATTTATAATTTTTTTTATTTATTTATTTATTTATTTATTTATTTACAGAGGTCAAACTATTTTAATTAGATGTAAATTTATCAAAACAGGCTGTACAGTATAATCATACATTAAAATACAGTACATTTTTTGAATGAAGGGTTTTGAAGCATCTTATGTGCACCAAAGGTGTGTTTACTTGATAAAAAACAGTATTATTTAAAATTATAATTAAGAAATAATATAACATTATCATGTTTTTGTAATACCTTAAAATATTCATTCATATGATGGCAAAGATGGGCATCCGCTATGTAAAACGTGTCAGAATAGTTTGTGGTTCAATCAGCTATGGTGACCTTTGATAAATAAGGGACTAAGCTGAAGGAAAATTAATGAATGATGGCAAAACTGAATTATTCAATCCAGCTTTGAGTGCCTCAAGATATTTCAGAAATAACTATAAAGATTTGGTGTTTGAGAAACATTTATTATTAATATTATAAATGTTATTATTTCTTTTTTCTTCTTTATTTTGGGATAAATATTAGTTTTTGTAAATATTAAGTATCTTGTAATATAATTTAATTTATGTTATATTTGTGCATAAACTTGCAAAAAAAATAAAACAAGAGTCAATCAATCAATCCAAAATTAAATACAATAGGAAGATACACATCTAAATTTTGTTTTTGTTTTAAATCATGCAATTTGCCACAGTTATCAGCTACTATTAAAAATACTAATACTGTATGTATTTCCTGAATATGTTATGTAAACAAAACCCTAATCATTAAACCAAAAAGGCAATACATACAGTTGAAGTCAGAATTATTAGCCCCCTTTTATTTATTAGTTTATTTAATTTATTTCCCAAATTATGTTTAACCGAGCAAGGAAATTGTCACAGTAGGGCTGATAATGGTTTTTCTTCTGGAGAAAGTCTTATTAGTTTTATTTTGGCTAGAATAAAAGCAGTTTTTAATAAAAATAAAAAAATAAAAAACATTTAGATGTCAAAATTATTAGCCCCTTAAAGTTATATATTTTTTCAATAGTCTACAGAACAAACCATCATTTTGCAATAACTTGCCTAGTTACCCTAACCTGCCTGGTTAACCTAATTAACTTAGTTAAGCCTTTAAATGTCACTTTAAGCAGTATAGAAGTGTCTTGAAAACTATCTAGTAAAATATTAGTTACAGTCATAATGGCAAACATAATATAAATCACTTATTAAATATCAGTTATTAAGACTATTATGTTTAGAAATGTGTTGAAAAAATCTTCTCTCTGTTAAACATAAAATGGGGAAAAAATAAACATGGAGGCTGATAAATCAGAGGGCTAATAATTCGGACTTCAACAGTATGTTTCTTGTTAAAGAGAAAGTTTAACTACTCTCTGAAAAGGAAGAAAAAAAAAACTATCCCAGTTTTCTTTGTTCCTTCACAAAGAGATGGTGGATGTTCTCTTTGCCCCAGAGAAACAGAAGACAGATGCTTCCTTATTTGGCCATTGCACTTTTGGACAAAGTGCAAGGGTGATGAGTGTGAAGTCATCATGAAAGGCTGGCATCTCTTACTCTCAGCTCTTCCTGGCTCAATGAGGTGCAGGGGGAAAGAGGATTGCCTGTTCTCAAACAGTTTGGATACATGTCTGCACTCATGTCGGTCTACAAAGGCCTGAGATGGAGAAAGAAGGCCAGAACTCTCTTGTAGAGGTAAACACTGCTTTTTGGGTCGCTGCCAAATCACAAACTCAAACGACACTGGGACAAATGTTTCACAGGGTTGACCGAAACATATGAGGTGTACAATTCTGGATAAACACATTTAATTTAGCTGTTTGTTTGTTTGTTTGTTTGTTTGTTTGTTTGTTTGTTTGTTTGTTTGTTTGTTTGTTTGTTTGTTTGTTTGCTTGCTTGCTTGCTTGCTTGCTTGCTTGTTTGTTTGTTTGTTTGTTTGTTTGTTTGTTTGTTTGTTTGTTTGTTTGTTTGAAATATAGGTCTCAATTTACCATGATTCTAATTTACTAGATATATTTACTGCTTAGAAAGATTATTTTTGGTAATACTATAGGGACCAATTCTCACTGTTAACTAGTTGCCTAACCTCCCTATTATGATGGTATTGGCTGTTTATAAACCATTTTGAGGGATGTAAACAAAAGAAATGGTCCCAACATATTTCCTGTTTAACATTTTTTATTTCTATAGCTTCCGAGAATCCAAAAAGAGCCACATATTGATAAATAATGTTATGATAGCTGTTTTGATCAAATGCCTCATGCTACAGTTATGATATAGTTTGATAACAAGCAGAAAATGTTCATGGGCTAATAACATTACCACATTGGAATGGTTTACACAATACCTAAATATAACTATACGCTTAATAATTAATAACAAGCAACCAAATAGTTTATTAAGCCCAAAGTCATAGTTTGTTAATAGCGAAAATTGTAACCTAAAAAAAAAAAAAAAATGTGTGACCTTAATTTTTATTGGTTGCTTGGCTCTTTTTTTGTTAACTTTTGTTAATTAAATCTATAAATTATCATTTTAGTACTTCAACGATTTGATTGTTTGTAACAGAAATAATAGTACAGGTTTGGAAAGAATGAAGACTAAAGCTGTTTCATAACACATGAGAACTGCTCTCTCTGGGTCGAACATATATTTGAATGTAACACTTTGGCAAAATGTATAGAAAATGGGGAATGTATGTCATAGCGAGTTGAATAATGCAATGGACGCTGGACAATGGAGTACAGGATCCACGTGCAGTTTATTACAAGAATGGTCAAGGAAGGCAGCGGTCAACAGGGGCAAACAGGTACATGCAAAGCAATCCAAAGTTGTGGTCAAAGAACAGATGAGTGGTCAACACAGGCAGCAAAGTATCAATAACCGGAAGATAAGGTGAGGATCAACACACAGGATAGACTAGAAAAAGAACGCTTAGAAATGTAACACTAACAGATAAACAAGACTCAGCAAAAATGTGCATGTGTGTGTGTGCTGTTTATATATGAGTCCTTGAATCAGTCCATGAATAGTTTTAGCTGTGTGTTTGCAATCAGTGGAAACCAGAACAGGTGTGAGTGTGTGGTGCATGACAGGATTTGTGGTTCCATATCAAGTAGATGACAGGTGATTGTGACATATACTTTATTGCACATGATCACCTCACAGCAAGAAGGTTGCTGGTTTGAGCCCCGGCTGGGTCAGTTGGCATTTCTGTGTGAAGTTTGCATGTGTGTTTGTGTGGGTTTCCTCCGGGTGCTCTGGTTTCACCCACAAGTCCAAAGACATGCACTATAGGTAAATTGAATAAGCTTAATTGGCCATAGTGTTTGTGTGTGAATGAGTGTGTATTGATGTTTTCCAGTGTTAAGTTGCAGCTGGAAGGGCATTCGCTGTGTATCGCATTGCACTATGATAACATATTCCCATTCGTTAATATAAACATTCGCAAATCACAATTAACTATTTATAATTGAGATTAGGTGTGTGCTTGGATCAAGATCGCATAAGGTTTAATCCTGCAGCTCTACCAAAACAATCTCAAGAGACTGGAAAGTGTACTTGGAGTGATACAGTCATTTCTTTCTTCTAGTATCGGAATCTCATGTTTTTTTGTTTTTTTTACGGACTGAAAAATGAGCACCAGCAGTGTGACTGGGCAAGCTGACAGCTGATGGATGCTGAAGTCAGACGTGTTGCTGGTTTGGCCTTGAACTCAGCGGGGGAAACAAGATGGAAGAAACACACAGCCAGATCTGTCCTTTCTTCAAACAATTCTTGCAGCCTGCTCCGCTAATGGCGCATATTTGCAAGTGTCTGCCTCTGCTTTCTTTCTTTCATGCCCTCAACTAGTAAACAACAAACTCTATTTAAATGTGGCAGCGTTGTCTGACTGATACATCATATCAAAGTCCAACAGTTGGTTTTAAGGCTGATCCCCTTGCACCATTTCTTTTTGAGAATAAACAATTTTGATTACTTTATTGCATTATCATTTTCCAATTTTTACTGTTGATCAATAATTGGCGATCAACATTTGGTATAGGGACTTTTGGGGATCTCGGGCAGACTCAGGTAGCACACTTGTTTTTTCACATGCTATTCGATCTCACTCCTTTGGTCAAGTTGGTTTTGATTTTGGTTCGGCACTGGGATTTGAACATCAATGCCACATATGTCAGTGCACGTTTTTTTTTTTTTTTTTTTTCACTTATTGTTCACTTAATAGCCCCTTTCACACAGTGATACCGGTAAATATCTGGAAATCCTGAACGGCTTAAACGGTATATTGAAAAAAGCGCTGTTCACACAGGCTAGGACGTTACGGAATTTTTCCAGAAAAGACCGTTCACACATTCATTCCAAAATACCGGTAAATTCTGACATCATTCACCACAAATGAGCTTAAAACGGCTGCGCTTGTATTTGTAAACATTTGACTACATTACAAACTCTGTGGATGATCAGTATTGTGAACAACTTCGATGAAAATATATGGAGGATCACTTTTGCATGTCGAGATGTTCATAATATGTGTGTGTGCAGGCGCTCACAGGCTGTTTCACAGGCACACGCAAAGCTTGAAGGTAAACAAACAGCGGATTATCATAAGCATTTTATCGATGATGATTTACACAGTTGGCATTAAGAAGAACATATAAACGTTATCTGACTAACTTCTAGCAGCTAAATGCGTCTGGGAAAATATTCAAAGGCTTTTATTCTCATAAACCGCACGGACTTAAATGCGTCTGACTGTTCTGATTGGCTAAAGAAAACGTCTCAGCTCAGCACGTTCTAGATGTGCACGCATTCTTTCCGGCAATCTTCCTTCTGCATTCATACAGCGCAGCATTCCGGCAAATAACCGGTAATGTTACAACTTCTCTTTCCGGAAAATAGCCAGAACTAATTTACCGGTATTTTCAAAAAGGGCCTGTTCACACATACACCCTTTCCGGAAAATTTCCTGTAATTTTCCGGAAAGGTCTGTATGTGCGAAAGGGGCTATTGTCTTGCATTCAGCCTATAGTCTTGTGTTGGCATTGTGTGAAGCATTTGACTCAGGTTTAAATGTAGCTGGTGGCATTTGTATTTTGCTTCAAGGGGCTTTTGGTTTTGTATCTTTGTGCCATGTGCTTTGCTATCTATTGTCTAGACCCACTCAGCTTGTTATCCCAATTTGTGTTTGTCCATTTCACCTGTTTATGCTTCACCATCATATGCTCCTATTTATTCTCCCAGTGCTCTCTGTCTTAGACTGATCTGTCATCTTTCATATCTCATGTGTATGCCTTGTCCAGTCTTATCTAGCCAGCCTGTCTAGTCAAGTTTTATTATTTGTTTACCTGCAATTTCTTAACAGGGTAGTTTGTTGTTGTTTTTTTTTTTTTTTTTTTTTTTGGGTCTTTACTTAATCTCCTTCCCATACACCTAACAGTTTCGCTAGTGCTTATGTGTATTTAGTTGTCTAAAATAATCTAAAATAAATGTTATTTTGTTTAAAAACACTGATAAATAGTGATTTATGACAAGCACATTGTGTGAATTTCTTGATTTCCAAATGCAGATTTGAATTAAGCACTTGTTCACGGGATGCACTGTATGTTCTAATCACACTGGTGTGATCAAAGGACCAGACAAGACTGATCACACCAGTTTAAATGCATCAAAAATTTAATAGAAGCTAATGTGCAATAAATCACCAGCAGTTACAAAAGTGATGACCAGGATAATGAAAGGTGTCCCTGCACACATGTTATTAAAGACCTCTGTGTAAAAGTGTGTGATGCGACCTTTGTGGATTGAAAGAAAGTAGACCTGGTCTGACAAATCAAAGAGCTTTTGCATCTTCTTGTCAGTGGTTGAGTGTGGATATAATGATTACCAACAGAGGCTGTCACACATGGATATACTGTTGGGTAATACAGACCTGCAGCAGTGGTTTTATGCTGTTAGCAATGTTTTCTTGAGGCACATTATCCCAACAGCACAATGTGTTCTTTCTTCAAGCTATTTTTTGCAGATTGCTCTGCTAATAGTGCATATTTCAAACCCTTGGTCAACAAACTCTAATTAAATATGGCAGCCCTGTCATACTAAAACATCAAATCACATTGTAACAGTTGGTTTCAAGTCAGATCCCTTTGAGAATAAGCCAATTGTCTTCCATGTGGGCAGATGGCTAGGATACTTTCTTTAGCAAAATCTCACAGGGTTTCCTGGTAATGCTTTATATTAGCACTTTCTGTTTTTAGCTTTATTTTTTGTGCTGTTTTCTATATTCCCTCTTAGCCAAACCATCTCTACTTCTTTTTGGTGTGCTATTCTCTCCCTTTCTACTGTTTTTAAAAGGACTGTTGAGAAAGGCTTCAGGTTTGGCCAAAGGCCCGTACGCACAAGCTGGCAGTCAGAGCATCCGTCTGAAACTCTTCCCGTATGTTTACTCTGCCTTTCCATCAATTCTCCAACTCTCTGCTGTTCAGGAGACTGACACATAGTGTAAGCAAATCAACTGATTACAAATGAAAGACAGGAAGAAAATCTGCCATTTAACGAGTCCGCAGATTTTGGCAGGTTGTTTTTAAATGAAAGTGAATGTTGCCCTGTGGAAATCAGAATGACGTTGAGGTGGCTTTGCTTTATTACCCATGGGTCCAGTTACTAAACACAGTCAATAGGCTTCTTTGAGAGTGAATTGGCATGGTTGTGATTGAATTTCAGAGGGAGCTGAAAATGTGGGTTGGCAACAAAAATAACATTTATAAACATTTTCAAACATTACCCTTAAAACAATTTAACTTTACTTAAAGGGGTGATCCACAGTGTATTTTTAAGGTTTTGTTGTGTTTATAAGATGCAAAGCCATGTGTGCTCATGCTTCATTTGTAGAAAATCACATTATTTTTTCATATATCTTACTTTGATTATATACAGCTACTCAGCTAACATGTAAACGACTGTCATATTTCCTAGTTCTTTCGAAAGGGCCGCCCTAAAGAGGCTCTGATTGGTCAGCTAACATAACATGGTGTGATTCGTGGATCGGCTCCGCGTCACCACGTCACCACATCATGCCCCTATAAGCATACGCATAAGCGATGTGTAAACAGTCAGTCACAGCAGATGCTAGCAGCATTAGCTGCCTTAATCAGACAAAAATTATGAGCACATGCCTGAGCACACCTCACACTCACCTCATGCTTTCTAAAATAAGCTTGTGTAAGTATGTTCTCATATATTTTGTGAGTTTGTTATTTGAGATGCATGGAAAATGTTATGCTTCAAATTCTGCTTGTCGGTTGGAGGAATTTTTTAACCGAATCCAGCACTGAAGTGGAAGAGATTTTGGAAGCATTTCTTTGTCCAATCCTTTGCGATCTCACTAGCCATAAGTATTTTTTGTAGTCCCCAAATGAATTCGCTGTAGGTTTTGCTAAGCTAACTCTGTAAAATCCATGTCTCCCTTTCCATTAAACTTACATTCAGAGATGTTGATTATGTTCACACAGCTACATTACACATTAACTGAAGTTTAAAACATGATATCGTAGTGGACCACCCCTTTAAAAAGTCTCAATGCAAAATATTTGTGTTTAGCAAATCTATAACTCAACAAATACGAATTATTCATTAAATCAATTACTGTAATATATTTAAAAGTTTATACTATATTTTTTTATTATTTAGAACAAATATATACTACACGATTATACTAAAATATTTTATGCATTTAGGGTTTTGAATAAAGTGACACTAAAATTTATTTTTCATGTTGGATTGGAATATTGAAGAAAAACTAAATTTGGTGATATTTTATTTATTTTAAAATTATTATGAAATTGTCAAATTAAACTAGATTATGTTTTCATTCAAATGAACTTTTGTGAATCTGTTATTATATCATCAATTTTTCTTCACACCTTGAACAAAGCTGTTTTCATAATGTTTTCATTTCTGTAGCAAAAATAAAATAATTGTGAAATTTAATGATGGGATAACATAAAAAGGTTAAGAATACTTAAAGAAATCTGTATATAAATAAAACTATTTAGTATTTTGAATACATTTAAATTGAATGATTAAATGATTAAATTAAAATCATTTGTGTAGTATAAATACAAAACAGAAAAAAATTGTGGAGACAATAAATAAATAAATACATTAATCAAACAAAAAAACAAACAAACAACCAACAAATAAATAAATAAATAAATAGATACCAATTGTTTTGAGGAACACAAACATTTTGTACAAAAAAGCAAATAAAAATAAATTGCGCTTACATACCTTCTCCAACCTTGATGTAGATGTCATGGGCCATCCTGAGCTCACTGAAAGATGTAACTGCAGTGTAGCGGTGATGAGCCCAATTAAGCAGATGCTCATTGCCATGAGGAAGAGTTTCCACCTTCACTTCACACGACTTTGAGAAATTCCCAACCTCAAAGTGCACTTCAGATCCCTCTACAACCTAAGAAAACAACAAAATAAAACTGTTAGCGTCTGTTAGTTTCTTCTTCTTCTTTTTTTACAGTGCCACGTTGTGTCAAATGAATGATTTCAGTTTTCAATAACTAAACATCTATATAATCGTTTCCAAATTTGATGAAGTATCCTCAATTGAAATAAACTTGATTTTTTTTTTTCTTTTTGAAGTCAGAGCCACCAAGATGTACAATACAAACCTTTAATGTGAACTTGTGTTTTTCCCCCTTAACAGTTCAATAGACAAAGATCCCTCTGTTGATGAAGACGGGCCAATAAAACTCAAAGCACTGATATGCACATCCCGTTTTACAGGCAGAAAGTCTGAGGTAATAAAATTTAAGGGCAAAACTACAGATTTCGAGAGGAAAGGAAAAAGCAGATCACAACATGCCTTTCCAAAATGAAACCTTCCACGCGATCTCTGCCAAAACACATCTTTAACACTCTATCCTGATGGTTTTCTGAAAGCCTCTTCGAATGTGTGCTCCATATTTTCACACATGGTCTTCTTACAAAATAAGGTGTCTGCTTCCCTCTGTTTATATAACACACTGCTGTGCATCAGAGGATAGGGCAGGAGCTTTCTGGAATGAACGGCACACGGCTGAGATTATCCTTATAGACAACATATGTACACACTTTCACACGTGTAGAAGCAATGCAGACCATCAAAGTCAGGATTTAAGGGGTTTAAATACTTTATGTCAAGCAGTATGCAGTGTTTCCACTCTGTGCACTAAATGCAGCATTTGGCAAATATGCTGTATTGTATAGCGTGCTACACTTAAATGTACCTTTTACTGAGTTTTATTTACAGTTTTTTTTTATTAATTGTTTTATTGCATTATTATTATTTTCACTTTTAAATGGTCAACATACATTTAAAGATGGAGCCTCAACACAAAAAATATGTGCTCTTTTACTTTTGTAACCCTTATAATGTATTACAGTACATGTACATAGTTTGCAGTTCATTTACCACATTTATCTGTGTTTTTAGATTTCAAAATACTTTATTCTCTGTGATTTATAAGCTGTTTTCCTCATGGGGACCAAAAATAAATAAAAGATCCCCTCGAGGTCAAAATTTATCGGTATTGCTATAATTGCGAAAAATTGGTCCTTATCTAGCACATGTTTTACACAGAGGATGCTCTATCAGCTGCAATCCATCACTGGGATACACCCATACACTCTCATTCACACACATACACTACGGACAATTTAGCTTACCCAATTCCGAAAACCGGAAACCAAAGGACTAGTGCTGTGCAATTAATCAAAATTGAATGGCAATGAGGTTTAAAATGTTGCAATTAACTAATCGGCAGAGGCTGCGATATGAAATATATACTTATTATTTAATTTCTCCTGCTCAGAGCAAATGCGTGACCCCTGTCTGTCTTACTAGCCAATTGAGTGAGGATGCATTCGTTCTGCCCAATCAGTATTGTGCAAACAGACTAACAGGAACACCAACAATTTAAAAAAAAAACAAAAAAAAAACAAACAGGAAAGCATGGGATGATGCCGTCTGCTGCTTCAGAAGCATTAGCAGATGAATTAATAAAAATAAAAAAAATGGACATCAGTAATAAGGGAATGTTATGGTCTCAAAGTCTCAGACACCAAACAAAAACAGGTAATTTGTAAAAGCTGTCACAGAATTGTTGTGAGGAGTGTCTTGCAGAAAATCAACTGATAGTATTGCCAATGACACTCAATCTAGTAAATGTTGGAGCAAGTTAATATGTTTCAATTTCAAACTTTTTTTACTAACACTCATTGCAGTAAGAAGCTATGATGCAAATTATTGTGCTGAATCTTGACTAAATCGGTATGATATAATTAAATATTTTTATGATCAAATTATAATTAAATATTTTCCACAAATTGCAAAGCCCTACAGAGCACCCGAAGGAAACCCATGCGAACACGGGGAGAACATGCAAACTCCCAGCCTGATCTCACGAGACAATGCAAGTATTTTAGGTTTTGTCAGTTTACTGGCTAATTCGTACAAATTCGTACACGTCCAGACGTACAAAATTGTACGGTTTTAAAAAGGAGGCGTGGCACCCAACCACACTCCTAAACCCAATCGTTACTGGGTGATAAGCAATTCATACTAAACTGTATGAATTAAAAGTCCTACAAAGTCATTACAAAGTCATACGAATTAGTCACTAAATCAAAAAGTTATGAATTGCCATGAGATTGTGTTAAAACTCCAAACAGAAAAATGGCAACTGACCCTGCCGAGGCTTGAACCAGCGACCTTCTTGCTGTGAGACGACAGCGCTACCCACTGTGCCACCACACTGCCAACTGGAGCATTTGACAAATAAATATTATTCCTTGGGATACCAGGCGGCAACTTACCTCGATTATTGTTTAAGGACACTCATGCAAGGTCTCTTTTATATTTAACAATGCAGATGTTTATTATTAGTGTAAAGTACACTCGAAAATATATACTTTTTTTTTTTTTTTTTACTTGTTCAAACTAAATTAAAATGAGCTGAAACAACACAATTCTTGATATTTCGTTAGGATAACTTATTTTTTTATGTTCAATCCACATGAATTTATTAAAAGTGTTAAGTTAACTTAATCGATTTGTGTTGGGACAACATGAATGAATTATGTGGAACCCTGCATTTTTTACAGTGTACAGACTTTGCTGTTGTTACATTCCAAGAAGTTTAATATTTTTGTCCATGAATAAACTAAATTTGATTGTTGTAAAGACATTCTTCATATATTTTTCATATTGTGTTCAACATAAAAAATAAACTTAAACCAGCTTGTGAAGGGTGAGTAAATGATGGCAGAATGTTCAGTTTGGGGTGAACTATCCCTTTAACAGCTACTTTACAGTAAATTATACAAACTGTCCTATTTAATCTTTTACAGCATTTTCTAGAGTGCACACTTTTCGAGAACGCACTGCTGTAGTAGCTAATGAACATATCTATGCTGCCGATTTGGATTAGTCCATTAACTTAAGTTGCATGTTTTTGCAGGGTGGGAGGAAATCGGGGAACCCAGGAGAAACTCACATAAGCACGGGGAGAACGTGTAAATTCTGCAAAGGGTGAGGCAACAGTCCTAATCACTGGGCCACCGTGCAACACATCTAGGAAAAGAGGAGGAGTAGGGGTAGAAGGGGGGATTCTTCAAAACTAAGATGGCTGTTATAAACTTAGGGTATTTATAATGGCTTAGGAATCGTCTGACTGGTGAATCATAAATTGGATAAACCGGGGCTGGCTGCACGCAATCATAAGCAATTGAACCTCTCAAAATTTGTTTATAAATAAACTGTACTTACTGTATAAAGTATATAGTAAATTACTATTACTCAAACCACACGTTTATTGCAGCATTTTACTTTAAATCTTTATTTTATTGAGAAAATACACTACCTAAAGTTGAAGTTTAAAGATTAAAACACGTTTTTTGTGGTTAAATGATTTAATTATTTTTTTTTAAATGATCCTTCAGACACTGAATCTTTCCCATATTTTAATGTGACCACTTTTCATAGTGACTGACCTATCATTCTGATTGTAAACAGATCCTTATTCAACATGTAAACACAGTTAAAGTGAGTGAAAGTGAGAGTAGTGTTAGTGTAGTAGCGGACAGGAAGAATAACACAGTTTGTACAGTACAACTTCACAGCTGTCAAAGCAACTCTTATGAGCATTGTCAGCATTTTCTGCACGCTAACCCTTTCATCAAGGACTCTCTAAATATGTGTTATATGTGCTTGATTCCTTCAAATGCTATGTTTACAGAATGAGTTGAAAATTATAGCAATTACAGAGGGTTAAGCGAGCTTTAATGTGACTATAAAGATCAAAGTAACATGATATAGAGGTTGAGAAAGAGAAAATACCAAAGATAAGAAAATGTGTTTAAGTTCAGTTTGATTGTTGGCAAATGAGTGTACGCTCTTGCAAACGTATAAAGCATTGAATTGTGAGTTTCTCTGCATGTTGTCTTGCTTGACTGGGGTGGGTTTAGCTCCAAAAGTCCTCCCTTTTGGCACCAAGTGGACCTCGGGCCCACATGCTCCATTTCAGAGAGATAAACATTCACATATGTTGAAAAACCAGCCGTACAGCTCCACACAGCCAAGCACACGGTCTAGACAGCCCAGACTCATTTCATTTCCATGCTTGTGAGGTTTTTTTTTTCCATTCACCTCTCTCTCTATCTCATTCTCCCAAAGGTGTTCTTTCTGAGCTCAGCCAGCTCCATGCTGGCAAGCCCAATTAAACCATTATATCACACCACAGCATTGACGGACCCCATGCACACAGTACGAGCTTTGCAGAACGCCAGACAGTCTGAACCATAGTCAGAGTTCTGTGGCTATTGTGCAGCGACAGACAGAAGAGGTGAAGTAGGAAAGATAAAGAGAGAGGTGTATGACGTGCTGAAGGACCAGAGACGCATGAGCCAGTACCATGAGGAACATCTGCTCGACCTCTGGACGTCTCCACAGGCAAACGCCCCATCCTTGCCAGGAGTGATAAATTTCAAAATGAGAAAGGAAAAGCATGAGAAAGGCATGGAGGACGTCGAAGAATTTAGGTCTGGGTTAAAGGTTATTTTTAGGGTTCTGTACTAAAGGCCGTTTTCCTTTTAAAGGAATATTTGGGGTTCATTGCAAGTTGAGTTGAAGACAAGGCATTTGTGGTGTAATGTTTACTACATTGCAAGTTTTGAAAATAGATATTGAAATATTTTAAGATTTCTTTTATATTCGTAAATATGTTTAATTGCTCACTTTTGGATAAAAAACTGATAAAACGACAACAAGAGATTTAATATCATTTCATAATAATTATAATAATATACAAAAACAATACACACAAAATTAAATGTCATCCATTTAACAATAACAAAAGCCTTGCATTATCTTACACCATTTCTGCCCATATTTTTTTTTAATGGTTTTATGCATAAATC